CCTCTACCTCTACCTCTACCTCTACCTCTACCTCTACCTCTACCTCTACCTCTACCTCTACCTCTACCTCTACCTCTACCTCTACCTCTTTCTGTTTCTCTCGTACTTGCATTTACACATGCGACATTGACGTTTTAACCGTTAACGAGTCCCCGATAGTCATGTCAATTCGAATCCAACAGTTGTAGTACCCTTAATAGTAGGAGCAAACATCAACTGACAAGCTCGTGGAAAATGGATCTGAATGAGTTTCCCGAGAAAACGTCGTGGCTACTATCAACAAACGGCGAAATAGATTGTTTTTCTCTCTCTAAGAAAAAAAATACGGTTTAAACGATAGACGATTTATATACGGTTTGGTGAAAGAGAGGAGATGGGTGGTACTGAATTCATTGAGATTGATCATTTTTCTAAATTCTCTCGTACTATTTTCTTCCTTTTCTTCTTTCTGAAATGAAACTTCTTAGACGACAGTTACGATAAAATGTTATAAAACGACATAAAAAGAGAGAGAGAGAGAGAGAGAGAGAGAGATTCAGTTTATATTATATCTAATAAAATACAAATAATGCAAAATACATTTGTTTCAAAATGATATATCCGAATATTAAACAATTTCGATCTGATATTTCATTAAATAAAAATAACAAAAATTCAAAGTTATGACTGTAAAAATGTATTTTATTTTATTACTTTTTATTATTATTTAATTACGTATTTAAAAAATGTATTTTAATTTAAACAGTTCAAAATATTAGCAGAGTACGTTAAAGTGTTCGATATACCTTAAATAATAAATAATTAATCGAAAGAAACGTTTATTGTAATTGAAAAATATGTAGTATAAGTTCGACGCCACTGTTCTCTTCAAAATCTTCCGTTAGAAGGCTCGAAGTTTTCTATAAAAGTCGATCAAATTTCTTTTATTGATTTTTGTTTATATGACTTTCTGAAGGCTGTATATGTATACGGAAAATAATATTCCTACAATAAATAGAATTTCCTTATTTGGAAAAACATATAAACACAAATCAATAAAAGAAATTTAATCAACTTTTATAGAAGACAACGGAACAGTCTAACTGTAGATTTCGAAGAGGAAGGTTCGTCGAACTTATATTCCATACTTTTAAACTACAATATACATTTTTTTCGATTAATTAATAATTAATTAAACTATATCGCACACTCTAACGTACTCTACTAATATATTGAATTGTTTAAACTAAAATATATTTTTTTATTTGTTTTTTTACAGTGATAACTTTGAGTTTCTTATTTTTATCTAATGAAATATTAGGATCAAAATTGTTTAATATTCGAAGTACATTAATAAATGTGTCATTTTTAAACAAATGTATTTTGCATTATTATTCTTACTGTTTTAAGGAACACCCACCGTATTTATGAATCAATTGATTATTTTATACATGTGATAATACGAGTTTCACTTTTATCGTGCTTGGAGACCATGCACGTTATTTTTTCCTTTTTATTAAGATCATCATTGGTTGGTTGATGGATCGAATCCTGTCTCGATATCACTAGAATTATTTATGGTTGATCGGTTGATTGGCAATTTTTTTAACGAGGGAATAAAAATCTTGAAAGAAAAGGGGGTTGTTGAAACCTTGACAATTTAATCGTTACTACTTAAGGAAAAATAAAGATTTCTGATACGGATAAAACAATAATGTTAGATGCAAGCATTTTACATTTACACACGCGAAACCAAAAACTTTCAAGGGTACGAAATATATGTATATATATGTGGCTCGAAAAGGAATAGGAATCGAAATGGCAAATGCAGAAAAGCAGTAAGTCAAGGACAAAAGAGAATCTTGAAGGAATGAATATTTAGAGACGAAATCCTTTTCTATTTCGTTTTCAATATCTTCTTTTTCTATCTTTTTATATATTGGATTAAAGACAAATTTTTCTTCGTATTTTCCAGGAAAATGGATTTAACTAGATTTGGCAATACTTTTGTGTGAGTTTTGAAGCTGACACATCGCAAAGTAATTTAAAAAAAAAAGTTGCGCGTATTTGATTTAATGAACTTAATTAAAAATATTTAAAAAAGACCTCGTTTAACTTTTGCATTAAAATACTGAGGAACTTGTTCACCCAATCCAATATTTAATCCTTTATCCTCTATTATTTTTCTCTTTTTTTTTTGCAAAAAGAACTTGAAACGATCGTAATCATTTAATAAAAAATAAATTCTTCTTTTTCTACGAATTTATAACAAGAAGAATAGAACTTTTTTGTGCAATAAGCGATTTAATTCAAAAATAAAAATTGGAATGAAGAAAATGTTGAAGAGAATGAAATTAAACGATAAGTTCTTTGATACGACAAACGAAATTAGATTATTCAATATGGTGGAAACAAAAAGATAAAGGTAAACTTTCCGCAGATAGTGTGTGTGTGTGTGAGTCAATGGTCCAAAAATAACAGCTATTTTAAGGTATACACAACGGTGCTGAAAAATGAGAATAAGCGAGAAGAAAAATTCGTTGAAAAATATTATATATCCAGTGGAAGATGGAGAAGATTTTGTGTGCTGCTCCTAGAGGAAGACTTCTTATCCCTTTCCAATGGCGTCTGAAAATATTGGGTCGTACTAAATTTCGCCATAATTTTATAAGGCAAACTGATACGATGTAAAATCTAACATCAATTTATATTAATTAAAAAATTTATAAACATTTTCAAGATTGATATCAATCGTTAATTTCTTTTTAAATTTCGGTTCAAAATAGTATATTCCGAAAATAATTTTTGTTTAACCTTCGATGTATAGTACAATGCAACATTGTCGAATATTCTGTAGATTCGCATCAATGAAGGATCAGAACAGAAGCTTTGAAAAAAATATGTACGACGAACATACAGATATAAATACAAGGGCGATACAAGCATAAGCTCGAAGTTTTCCAAATAGCAGTTTTATTCCAATTCGTTCGTTCGAAAAAAAACAAGGTCGAGATGTCTCTCGTTTTTTCTTTTTTTTTTTTTTTTTGCTATTTTCAGGTTATATTAGCGAAGTGCAGTTAAAATATACCGCATTCGCATTTTAGTCACGTTCGATCGGTACAAACGTAAATCAATAGAATTGCGTTGATATGTTGATATATATACAATATGAAATATTAATAAAATATATTGTTTTAGGTCAGATAAAAATATGAAAGCATACTAAATGTTATGTTATAAATATAAATAAATACTAAGTGTAGATAATCTCACCTTACTGGTTATCAGCATCGTTGCATGTAACATAATTGACTTCCTGAAACAAATGTATAAATTATGTTGGTACTCTTTCCAACATATATTGATTTTGCATAAACATACTTAAACTTTATTTTAAATTATTATATATATAATAAAATGTATATTATTATATATATATAATAATATATATTATATATAAATGCCAATGCTTTTATTGATTCTCTAAGAAGACACAAGAATTGGTAAATTCAAGTGTTCATTCCTCTGAAAGTTAATATTAGCCATAATGAAACTATTGGCAATCATCAACATCTGGCTACTACCAAATTTTACATCAAGCAACTATTTTCAAACATAATGAGTTAGAAATTAGCTTTCCAAGAGAATCTGGCTGTGCCTACGAATAGCATTCAAGTAAATACATTACATTGGAAGAATCGCAAAGAAATGTTTCAATGTTACAAAGGAGTCATTTAAAAGAAGATTGATTTAACCCACTTAAAATAATGACTGCATCGTGTATTGTACCATAAATATTTGCAGGATTAAATAAAAAAAATAAAAAAAAGATAAAGAAAAAAAAGGAAGATTAAAGAAAAGAATCTCGTTGGTATAACAATGTTAAACTTCCTTGCAAGAATAATTGAAAAAAAAAATGTCTACCTTTTTTGATAAAAATAGATTTAAAACAGGAAACGCGTTTTGTAATCAGGTCTTGTCGATTAAATGAAGAACGACCAAAAAAGGAACAGCTTGTTAAAATGAAATAAGATAAAATATATAATAGATATATGATATAAAGGGTGAGATAAAATTCGCTTTTTTTTAGAAAAGTTTTTACATAAAGACTAACCTTTCCGAGTTGTGTTCCTTTATATGTAAATTTGTAATTAAACTATATGAATTGCGTATTGAGTATAATGGATACCAATTGAAACAAATTATGTGAATAACACATAAAATGAATAGTTTATTTAGATGTTATTTTAAAAGGAAAGCGACTTTGATCTCAGGCTGCATTTTCTATTTGAACTTACGGACAAAATGAGGTCACGTCCAGAGATAACAAGGACGCATTTGAGAATAGGTCGATGTTATTGGTACACTTTGTAGACCGCATGGCCGGTAAACGTCAAACGTTTTACGTTACGTTACGCATTATTGCTGTCGCCGCCTCCGCCTCTTCCTCCTCCTCCTCCTCCAACACCTTCGCCACCGCCTCCGCCTCCACCATCACCGTAGTCACCATCAACAACTACCATCATCCATCCATTCCATCCATCCGCCTTCACTTTTTCCTACGTCGTCGCTACCACCATCACAACCATCGTCTCCTTCGTTATCATTATTGCATCGTCGAGGCTTATATTTTTTTTTACTCTTCTTTTCATGTTTAAATACACGCGCGAGGAGACACTCACTCTCGACCTTCTTCCGAAATAAGACCGGAACAATTGGACTATTCACAGAGGTGCTGTTTCTCTTATTTCTTCCCCTTGTAAATGATTTCTTTTCGCGTACAGCAAATTAATATGGCAAAAAGGTGCTACGCAATTTTATCAAAGCACATCCATTTTATAATTTTATTTATCGCATATATCACACGTAGTATACGTAGTAGGATATTCGTACGTTCTATCTATCTCTCTCTCTCTCTTTCATATGCATACATACACATTACATATAATAATATACTTACTTATATTACACACTGTAAGCTCACGCATTCTCTCTCTCTCTCTCTCTCTCTCTCTCTTTCGCACTCACCCCTACCCCTGCCGCTCCCTTACTTTTCTCCTCTCACCTATAGCGCATCACGCAGCACTATAATACGCGCGCGCACTCATCCGCTTTTGCTTTTCAATGATATTCTATCCATCTTTGGAAATAATATTCATACCTGTGTATCTTTTCAATGATTTTCTACGCGTTAATAATAAATATTAATCGCCGACTAACCTCTCTATTATCGCGATAAACTGTACGTACGTACGAGCGAATTTTGAAGTTCTACGACCGAACGATTCTCGCGTACGATGATTTTCTGACACCAAACAATTAATAGGATGAAAAATTAAGGGTGAAAAATGATCGTAAATATATCTTACTGACCTATGTCTCGCCCGTCAATCTGTCGTCACGATTACTAAACGAATTCAAAACATTTCCGCGATACTGGCTTCTGCAGACATCACGACGGCAGCCATATTGAAATCCCGATTCCGCGGAACATCGACAAAGCGTTTAAACTAGAGTTCAAACCGTATTGGTTGATACCGACATGGCGCTTGGAACATTAATGACATCTATTATCGTTCTAAGTACTAAACTTATAACTCTATCTTATATAAATTTTAAAGCGGAATTTTAAAAATAATAAAAATAAAATAATTTTTATTTTATTAGTATATATAGTAATAAGTTTTATTACTATATATATATTATTTAGTTTTATTCATAAATGAAAAATAAATAATAACTTTACATTTTTTGATATCCATTTTCTCTCTTTCTTTATCTGGGCGTATCACGAAGTCTTTTAGTATAAAACAAACAATATACATAATACAAAAATAACATACGTTTATCAGATAAAAATAATATATATACAATATTTAATTCCTTCCTAGTGAATAGTCCAATTATTATGATTGAAATGAAAATTTATTCAGAACTGTCTCGGAAATCGCTGCTTGAAAGTTGTTTGGTTAATCTTAAAAAAAAGTATTAAAAGAAAACTAATATATTAACGTGTACATATGAAAATGGTAAGAACGTAATTTATATATTCGAAAATTATTACGTACCTTGGTTTTTTAATTGAATTTTCATCTTCTTCGGCGTAATCTTGAAAATACGGTTGGGTGTGCTTTAAAAAGAAAAATATATATATAAACATCATAAGCTCAACATCATAGGCTCAAAACCTTGTAAGATGTTCTTATCTTAAATCTTATTATTAACCTTTTTGTTACTAGCGACCCATATACTAGTAGTTCTCGCAAAAATCGCGCCAATGCTTATAGGGATTGTATACTACGCGACGATACGTATGTACGAGCAAATTTATATTAAACGATATTGAGGCTGAAGCATGCCGTAACAAAAGGGTTAATACTGCATCTCGAACTTACCTTGTTTATATCATTATTTTGACATAATTCCGCATTACAATTACAATTGTTACATATACGATTATTTTTGCGACACGAACAGATACGAGTGATGCATTTTCTTTTACAGGCGCATTTCACTTCTCCGTCTGATAGCTGCTTCACTGGTGGCTTAGAATTTTTCGTTGTATCCTGGACAAATAAATAATACATTATATATATGGTATAAGTAAAATATAAATAATTATGTCAATATTGACATTTAAATGTAAGTACTATACCAAAAGCTTTCGTATTCTATTATAAAGTGGAGTTTGAGTCCAATCTGGATCTTTTTCTACGTCATCATCGCTTATGCTATCATCTGATGTATAGAGGTTCTCGTATTTCGACGATAATTTTTGTACTTCTATCATATTTGTAATTGAAGATTTCTTATTGTTCTTACTATTTCTATTAACATTCTCTTTTAGAACCTGCAAAATATATTTACAATTGTGTTATCAATAATGTGTATATTTAAATATCACTAGAGTATAATATTTATTAAAGAAGTATTTAAAATTTATTCTACCTTTTTCTTAGATTCATTTAGTTGATTTTTATACATTTGTAATTCTTGTTTTAGTCTATCCTCTCTTTGGCGGCATTCATCCAAATTCGTTTGCAAATTTGTATATTTTTCCTAAAATTATATTACATTTAAAATTATACAAAACTTAGTAAGCAAAATGAGACGTGAATTGTCAGGAATAATATAATACTATAAACAACCATAAACTTTTTCCTATCTTCCGAAGTAACGTCAAAAAGACATTTAATAGCAACTTTAGCATCGCTAATGGATTGTATTGTATTCATTCTTATATTTGCTCTATTTTCTGTAAAAATAAAATATACAAAATATTTATATAAGTATAGATGCATATTAGATCTTTTCAAAAACACTATTCTTATACCTTCATTTGCTTCATTAATTTTTTGTTGTAAATCTTGTATTTGTGTATTACGTAAAGTTAAAAATTCAGTAAGTTCTGCTACTTCTGTCTCGTGATCATTCGAATCATTCTTAAGATCTTCTAATTGAGATTTTAAATATTCTCTTTCGTTTATTAATCTTTGAAGTGTACTTTCTGCATCAACAGTACTTGATAATATATTAACTTCTTGTCTCACCCATGATTGAATATCACTTTTGTTATTAAACGTCTTTTCTCTTCTTTGACTAGCTTTCTTTTGTACTTCCAATGCATCCTATTTTAAATATTCATATTATTCATTTAAAAGTCTTTTTTTTTTGCAATTATTATTATTATTATTATTATTATTATTATTATTTATGATTAAAATCTAATATAAACATGAAACTATTTGATTTACCTTTAATCTTTTATTAGCTGCGTAAGCTTCTTCCATTTTTCTTTTGAATACATTTTGTTGTTTATTATGCTGCATTTGTAACCGTACCATTTGATTAGCTCGTTTACGATCAAGCTCTTTTAACTTGTAAAGTTCTTTCTCCCTAGTTCGTTTCCACTCTGCAAATTTGTCAGCATCGCTTCGCATTTGTCTGACTAATTTTACTCTAGTTTGCTTTAAGGATTGAATTTCATTAGTTAAATTTTTAATTTGCTGTTGTAATTTTTCTTTTGCCTTTAAAGTTTTACTTTGTTCCAAACATTTTTGAGTCAATTCTGATATCTTCTTTTCTAACTCTTGTACTTTTTTACGACGACTTTCTGCTAATCTGTATAACAAATATGTATATATAATAAAATAATCAAAATTTATATACACTAAATCATACTATTAATAATTCACAAATAATAATAGATTTTAACTTACTTTGAACTAGCATTGTTGGCTTGAGCATTACGTAGAGCTACTAAAAGTTCATCTTTCTCAGATTGAAGAGTTTTTATTTCTTGTTCCATATCTTGCAATTCTTTAGAATATTCAATAGCAGGAGAAGAATTTTTTAAAAGTTCTGAGATAAGATGTTCTTTGATTGCCAACTCTCTGTTTATGTTTTGAACTTGATTATTTCTTTCGGTTTGAATCGAAGTATGCTCTTCATGTTTTTTATCGAAGTCTTCCAAACAGCTAGACAATTCTTCATCGGTGGACTCATTGTTCACATCATTTTCAGTTTCTTTTAATCCAGGTAATTTAGAGTCTAGAGACATTGCATGATTAAAGAGCTCTTCCGATATTTTGTTGTCATTTGTTTGCATGTCTGGGCATAAAATATAAAGTTAATCAAAATCAGATAATATAAAACGATGAAATTTATATCATCTAAGATACGAACTTACCAAGAATCTTTCCATATATAAGTTTTATTTTAACATAATTTTTGTCATTTACTCCACAATTGTCATTATAATTATCTAACAATTCTTTACAATCTGTTAATATCACAGCCATCTCAGATTTAATTTTATCGTGTAATTGCTCGGCGAGTTCAGTTCTTTCATGCATATAAACCATTTTGATTAAATTGCTATTTACTTGGTCTGTCAAATCTCTTATCTTTTGATGTAATAATTCATTTTTCTTTCGTAATTCTTGACAATCGCTCGAACAGGATTGTTGCGATTCTTGGTGTAAAAGAGCAAGTTTGAATTGTTGTACCAATTCATTTAGACGATTAATTTCAGCTACTCTTGGATCCTGATTGACCACTGGTTTGTTCTTTATTTTGCGTGCACGATCCGCGTATCTTAATGTGCTAAGCGTTTCATCCATATTATAATCTATAGAAAAAATATTCCATTTAAAAAAATGTATATAGATAAAAATAGACTCATACATTACTATTATAAACTTAATGTATTACCTGCTGGACTGACACATGCTATCATAAGAGTCATGGAATTTCCACCAAGAGAATCTTGTAATAATCTTGTAAGTTTGCTATCTCTATAGCCAACATATGAATTATTACCACATTCTCCTAATTGAGAAATAACATTTCCTAAAGCTAATAAACCTTTATTTATATGAACGCCTTCTTTAAATCTTTCTCCAGTGGCTTGAGTTTTTTTTGAACGTTCAGAACCAGCCAAATCCACCAAATGAAATTTAGCAGTAGTTGCTGAATTGCTGTAGTAGAAGAAATTGCTCATTTTTTTTTTTATAAATATTCCGTTATTTAATATAAAGAATAAAATACTTACGGATCATTCTTTTTTTGTTGATGGATATGTAAGGTAAATATTGCATGACTTCTACTACTTTGAGCATTCATTGCAGTAGAGCCTGTTACTCTTCCTTGCGATCCTTCGATTAAACATTCTAGGCTTTCTTCTGCGCTTTTAACTTCCTTCTCCGTAACACCCACAATTTTGATCCCCTTATTATCTTCTCTAATATCTATTGTACTATGACTACGTTGTTTATCTGATAATAAATCATATAACTGTTCTTGATAAAGTTCCATAAAAGACACACATGTTCGAAAATTCCATTCTGTTTTGGATTTCACTATATTAAAAATATCATGCATAGCACGAGGTATTACACCCATATCTTCTATCCCGCTATAATCAGTACCCATTGAATGGGTTTTTCCACTTCCCGTTTGTCCGTATGCAAGAATAGTAACATTATAACCTACAAGTTTAGAAAAAGAAAATTAATTAAATTAATATCTAATTAAATAATAAATACTATCAAATTTTATAGGAAAGTTTGTATGATAGTTTAGATAGAATATATTAATCATAAATACCATCAAAAATGCGTGTAACCATATCTTTAATAGCTGTGTTATAAAAGTCTTCTTGATTAATATCTGGAGTGAAAACATAATTAAATGTGAAGGCCTTATCTGTATTTTTAACAATTATTTGTGGTTGACCAGGTGTTGTGTTTAAGCATTCTTCACATCCCTTTTCTATTTCACTTTTGATAAGTGGTCTAATACGTACAGCTACTCGAATTGTATCTTCAACCATTTTTATTTATATTTTATATTATTTTTTAACAATTATTTATACGATATTCTTAAAAAAATCCAATTTTTTAAAGATTATATTCTAACACGATTACGTTACTGATTCAAGATTTGAAAATCAAGTTAACGGAAAACTAAACAAGGTTGGCCAACCTAATTGAAACAATACAAACTTTCATTGCGACGGCATCATGATATAGGAAAGATATAGGGACTCTGTAGTTTCCCCTAGTATTTGATGAGACGTAGCACTTATAAGACGTAGCAACTTAGCAAGATATATAAGTATCGTGTTGTCAATTTCTATAGATTCATTTTATGCGTTTTTTTTTGTAATTCTATTATTAAATTTAGTTTTTCGATTTAAAAATGTCTTCGGAAGATGAAAATGACGAATTAACAGATTTAGAAAAGATACGCGATAAAATGTTAAGTCAACCGCGTTACGATCGTATGCAAGTTAGTGCTTGGGAAGACGACGACGACGGTGTAGAAGCTGAGCGTAATGCAAAAGGTTAGAAATTTAAAGGAAACATTTACTTGTAGTTTTATTAAATTCTTTTCTTTCCCTATTATGTTGTAACGAAATCATTTATTTGTTGATTTTAGAGCCGGATGAAAAAGCAATTTTAAGTGCCGCTGAAAACGGTGATAAAGATAAAGTTAAATTATTATTGATAAAAAATATTAATTTAATAGAATGTTCAGATAAGGATGGATATAGGCCTCTTCATAGAGCGTGTTATGGAAATCACGTGGAAATTGTTGAGGTATGATACTTGCATATTCTTTATGTTGCCTCTTAGTTAGCTTAGAATTGATTTTGAGGTGCATTAAATTGCGTCTTACTTAATACGTTACCTGCTAAACCGCTATCGATTAAGTGTCATTTCCACATTACATATACTAAAAATTATGTACACATAAAAAGTTTTAATAAATCATATATTATTTGATATAGAAATGAGTTACAGCATGTATTGGAAATGTACGTGTAAAAGGGAACGTATTAAATATGAATTAATTTTTTGAGACGTGTGATATTTAAATGAATATTGTGTTAAATAATAGGCTTTTTTAATTTTTAATTATTATTAGCATCTCCTTCAAGCGGGTGCAAAAATAAATTCAAAGACTATGGATGGATGGCAACCCTTACATTCTGCTTGTTGTTGGAACAATGTAGAATGTGCTGCCATTCTAATTGCTAACGGAGCGGATGTTAATGCAAAAAGCAAAGGAGATCAAACCCCTTTACATTTAGTGTCAGCGAGTTCTCATAATTCTTCTGCTTTACAGCTGCTTCTTTTAAATCCTGATACAGATCCCTTGATAATAAATTCAAGTGGTGATACACCCGAGCAAATTGCTAAAAGAACTGGTAAATATTATCCAATTTTCGAAATAATCGAACCGTGTTTAAATGAAATTTAAAATAAAGTTTTATATATATATATATATACATATATGTTTAGAATTGCATCACATTATAAATTTATTAAGCATTTATGTACATGTGTATAAAATTTATAACTATTAATATTAATACAAATATTACGATTGTATATTTATAAATATAAGTTATTTTAATATTATAAACAAGAGTAATATATAAATTTGAAATCTGTAGCTTTTAATTAATATCAGTTTCTTAACTGAAACACTTGTATATACACTATAATTTTAGATTATAATTACATTCTTAATAATCGGTAAAGCATAATATATTAAATACTAATTGATCGCGTATGAGACAATATCAACAATGAATATGCATTCATAAACACGTAATTAAAGAATAAAACGATACTTTTTTTTCTACTTAGAATCTTGGTATAAATGTATAAAAATATACTTTTAAGTATTTGTTTATCATTAAAATTATCGAGTATCGTATATAAAATGCGTTATTAATACTTTAGTATATTGTTCATTATCTTTCTCAATATTTATTATGACAGATAAAAATATCTTTGATGAGATGTGAGATAGATATAAAATTCTTCAAAATAGATAAATGTTTTATAACGCTTAGTATTCTATCATACTGCAAATATTACACCTGAAAAACTTTGCAATATTGATTAATCATTAATTATAGACACCTAAATTTACAATGAAATAACGTCAATTACATATACTATTCAAAGTAAAAAATTATTGTTAGGAAGATTATATTTATCTATATATATATATATTTTTTTTTTGTTTACTTATTTTAAAGGGATGTTAAATTAACAAATTTCGGAGTTCCATTGCTCAAGCGTTTTGAACCTTCCCATATTAAAACTGTACAATCTTCTGTAGCTGCATATAAATGGTGTTGGTCCAAAGCCCAAGCTATGGCAATTACAGCTCCACATCCTTTTGTAGTATTTATGATTTCTCGAACCAATCGTAAGTCCCAACTACTCCATAATCTGGATATAAGTAAACGATTGACAAATTTTTCTAATTATAAATTAATTTCAATATATATAGGATGTTTCTAAATATCGAGCATATGATTATTTGAACTTCTTTTCTTATTTTAGCATACTGAAACCATTTCTAAAGTTATTCCTATACATTTTATATAAATGCAATATACCTTATTACTCCATTATCCAATCCGGTTGCAACAACATTAACGGAAACTCCTTCAGGCGCATTACTATAACATAGAGCTGTTATTCGAGCTTTAGATAAAATAGAACCTACACTTCTAGCATTTATAGTATAAACTCGTAATTCAGATCGAACTGTCAAGTCCTTTTTATCAGCCTTATTAAATCTTTCATATGTTACTGCTATATCTCCAAGCGTTTCGCTGATTGATAAAAGATGGATAGCATATTTGTAATCACTGACTATTGACCTTACATATGATAAGCTAAAATAATATATAATTAAATTATTGTACTACTTATAGTACAATTCTTTGTTACACAGATCAAAATAAGTACCTATTTAAATCCCAAATAACAATAACACCATTTCCATCTCCAGAAACTGCAATACTAAATGCCCTTGACAAGGAAATTGCAATGACTCTACTTTTATGAGCTAAAAGTACGGATGCTGGAATTGAACTAAATTCTATTTTTCCACTAATTCCAATGTTATATGTATGTACCATTATTTTTCCAGATAAATAACCAGTCCACAATTGACCACAATCCGGAGCAGATGCTAAAATTGTAATCTGAAAAAACATCTATAAGTTAATAAATTTAATATAAAAGATTACCTTAAAATATCTTTTGATACACTTACAGGGTCGAGGCCAGAAGATTTCATTAATGGTTTGGGAGGTTGTTCTTTCTTACATTTCAGTCTTGCTATTCCATCATTTCCACTCCATGATGCAAGTGCAGCACCCAGAACAGACATTCCACTAAACATACTAGTACCTACGAATATAATAATATTATTAACTCGAACATTATTATATTTTCTATTATAACAGTGTAATTAATAATTATCTGACCTTTTTCTTTAGTATATCCTATGAGAAGTGTCGTATAATTAGGTAATCCAAACACATCACCTGTTGCTAAAGGAATAAGATAAGATAATGAAGTTCTATGTTTATGTTTCCAGCAAAGTGAAGGCTCATTTCCAGGTGCTCCTACATAATTCCCCCATTTAATACCTATAATATGAAACTTAGATAAATATAACACTTTTATTATATTAAAAAAAAAAACAATCAATATAAATAATAAAATTACCTTCGACACCTTCAATAACTTGCGGCACGGAAGCAGAAGCTACTACTGTGCTAAGGTTTTGAGTTGGTAATGGATGTGCAGTTCTGAACAATTGCGCCGGTGTTTGTCCATATGTTCGTACCATTGTTTCCCATGCCTGACGTTCTAAAGGATCAGCTATTTGTTCTACATTGAATCCATAATATGTCTATTCAATATAAAATGTTATGATTGTGTGATTAAAATTTGTCATTATTTGATATCATTCATTTTCAATAATGTAACTCACAGCTGGATGAAAAACGTTAATTGCTTCCACTGCTGGTCGTCCTGTTTGTCTAAAACCAAACACAAGATCAATCCAGTATGGTAAAACTTCTCTTACTATGTCTGCTTCGAGTGCAGCTCTATGTGCCAATATGAACAAACGAGCATCACCCGCACACCATTTAGGTAATTCAACATCGCCAACTCTGTTACCATTCTGTCGTACACCAAAATTAAATCCTATAATGCAATAAAATTGTTTTGAAATTCAAATTTTAATGTAAATAATTCCTATCACATATATTTATAGACTTTATTTACCTTCAAAGTTTAATAAAAATTCTGGTAGGTAGAAAAACTCTGGTATTAATTCTTTAACATCAGTGGTTGAATCGCAACTAGTTAATCTCCATGTAGTTGCTAATGCGTGAAATGTTCTATCAGGAATGTCAAAGTTATTATCTAACAAAAAAAAAGGTTTACTTAATAATCATGAAATATTTTTAATTATTATGTATGTCATTATGAAAATACCTTGATAACATAAAAACATGCTGGTAAAGGGCGGCAATCTTACTAAAAAATGTAAAACCGTGCCAGAGTTACTATAATGAGATCCATAGTGGAATGGTTCTTGATTTAAGGCAATTAAATTTAAACCTTCTGATAGAGTTTGCTTTAAATACTGAAAGGAATATTTAATTAATATATTTTAATCATTCTATTATTATTATTATTATTATTATTATTATTATATATATATATATATATATATATATATCTACTAATTATATACTTACATTGTAATTATTTATATAATGTTGTTCATTCTTTTTATCTTGTACAGCCATAGGTCGTTTAAAATTTCTGTAAAAACGTTTATTCATATTATTTAATTATTTATCATTATTTTAAAAATAAAAAATGAACCGATTTTCTGTATAACTTACCGATAAATTTTTGGATTATTTAGATCAATTTTATCATTAATATAATCTGCTAACACGAACGGAAATACAGGATATTGCATGAGATCATTGTAAGAACGTCCAGCAAGTTTATTTAAACAAATTATGTATTCCCAATTTGTTAATGTGCCACTTCTCCATAGCGCAATAGCTTCTCCTAAATCATCACCAGGAACACGTCTTGGTAAATTGCAAATAGATAATTCTGTTGCAAATTCATCTCTTTCCTAAAAATATTAATCTTAATTCGAATATCAACTTATTAAAAATGTTTTAATAAATAAATACCTTAGAAGAATTAAATGCTAATAGATAGGTTCTCCCGGTGATGAGAAATATTTCAATAGCCCTTTCTTGTAATTGGTATCTTCTTTTATGTAACTCACGAATGTCTTCTAATCGCCAAGCTGTACCACCAGCCATGGCTAAATCCAAGCCTCCTAAGGCTATCTAAAATTAAATATTTAAACTAAAGATATGCATTTATAAATGATGATATTCTTATTAAGACACAAAACTTAGTATTTACATCCGTGTGTAATGGTACATCAGGATTATCGGGAACAAAATAGAGACATGTTTCTCCAATTAATACTTCGCCCGATAATTCTGCTCTTGGAGTAACAACTTTTGCTTGAGACATTTTACGTATTCTTTCATTGGTATGTAAGCGTTCAATTAAAGTGGATGCATTAACATCTTGACGGTTAGTTAAAAATAAATATGATAAAGGTGCCTCAATTTTAGACACTCCTAAATATTATTTAAAATTATTAAATATTATATAAAACAGAGAGTAATTTCAAAATAATTTATTTTCATATTAAGGAACGAACCTAATTTATCCTTATGTTCTGCCAAAAAGAATCTTGCATCGATATCCAAATGACATCTTTGTAAGCGGATTCTAACTCTGGCAGGTCCTTCTGTTGGATCTAATTCCCAACTACGTGGATAACTTTCGGGAAAATGCCAAAGTGCTCTCTCGTGCGTCAATCGTTTAGCCAAATCTCTCCATTTTGCAACCGCTTGAGCTTCCATGGCTCTTGCGTGTTTTAATCGTTCCATTAATACTTTACGTTCTCGGTTTTGTTCTTCTACTACAATACGAGTTATAGACATGGCACTCTCAGTTAATTGTTTGGCTAATCCATCAAATCTATTACTGATTCTAACATATAAAACGAATTAAAAAATTAACATAAATTCATCTATAAATAGAATATAAAAATAAGCTAATTAAGTACCTGTATATTGCTGGAAGATTTGTATCAATCCATATATCTCTGTCCCTCATTAATTCACGTCGTAGTAAAGCTAGTTCTTCATTCCATATTCCTGGAGATGCTTGATCAATACCTTTTGCAAGATCCCATATACGAAGAGCTTCTCTAAATTCGCTACACATTCTAACATCTGCGCTTGACATTTCATCTTTTTGTAATAAATCCCAAAAGAAAACGGTGAATCTTTGCTCTACCTAATACATTATAAAACATATGGCATTAAATATTTGAAATACATGTTTTATTAAATATTATGTTTTTATCTTTAACTTGTAGAT